AGTGACATCTTTAGCTGGTATGTTTATTGTGTGTCAATTAGTCCAAGCCAGGCTCCATTAATTACTAGTAATGATGTTTGGACTTGACCTCCAGCCCTGCCAGTTTGCCCTAGGAGTAGAGCTGGGCTTTTCCCAGCTCGCATTTCTACAATACGGTTTACAAATGTAGTTGAATTGCTGTTGTGGGAGCCAGAAAGGACTCCTGCTCCCTTGTGTGGTTGGGTTGGCAGAACTAGTGATTGCATCAAGCAGTGACCTTCTTCCCGACCATAACATTGACAGAGGCACAGGCAAGTGAAATGTAAAGAGGCAGGTTTCACTGATCAGTGACCAGAGGCAATTTACCTTAGGGCAGGTGATGTGGTTCCTGCCCAGACCGGTGAGGATGCTCCAGCTGCTGCTGTTGCAGCCACAGCCTGGTGCATGAGGGTGCCTCCGTCTCTGCTGGTTCTCCCTGACTTTGTCAGCTGCTTTGCTGAGCTCTCCTTGCAGTGAGGATAGGAGCCCTGGCGATGAGGGAGAGCCATGGCTCCGGTCAGAGATATGTAGTCCTGGCTCATGCCCAGTTTTGTTCTTGCTTTGACCTCAGCTCATGCTGCAGCTGTAGATACCCTCTCTGGCAGCAAAGCCAGACCATAGAAGCTGCCCTATGTGCCCTTGCCAGTTCATTTAGGTGCCCCCCTCCTCCTTGCATGACCTCCTGGGGGACCAGGCCCGGGTTAAAACTGGCCAGGTAAGGATCAAGTGCCTGAGCCAGCTTGCAGTGAGGCATCAGAGCTGGCTGGGCTGGCACAGCAGAGCTGGAGTGGGATTGAGGAGCTGAGGGCAAGGAAGGGAAGGACCACTTCAGCCATTGCTGCTGCCCTGGACACGTCCTGATCTACCCTGTGCTATGTTGAGTCAGCTCCCCTCTCTTTGCTGCACCGTTGTATCAGTGGCCGCTGTTATCCTTAGCATGTCACGTCATCCTTGGGAACATGGGCATAATTCCCAAACAGCCTCCTGGGAGATGATCGGCACGTCACGCTGTGCTTCCTTCTGTTCTTCAGCTGGCGCAAGGAGCGAAGCTGTGCCTTAGGAAGCTCTTTGCTTCACAGACATGTTCTCTGGGGCTGCCCATGACCTGTTCTTTGTACTTCCTTGCTGGGAAGTTTTGCTGTAAAGTGGTTAATAACATGCTCTGAGTTTACCTGGCTTGAACTTTTTGGCTCTGCGTAAAGAAGCAAGTTTCTAAAAGCTCTTAGTGTCAAGGAACGCTTGAGAGAGAGTTGGTACCTCAGTGCTGGGGGTTTTATCTCTGGGCCTGCTGAGTTGTTTTCTGATTTTGCTGATGCACTTTCCTTTTTCTCTCCCCTGCCATACTCTGCTTTGTTTCCTTTTGTCTTTCTTGCCCTTGCTTTCTAAGGTCTTGGGTCTCCATGGGGAAATAGTGGCAGTTACCATCTATTGGAATAATCCCTTGTAGGGAACCTCTGTGTGGAAAGCCCTGCCTTTTTCTTCTGCAGCTGCTGCTTCGTGGTGTGGGGGTGGGGGGGGGGGGGGCGGAAATTCAGCACAGGTTCCCGCGGCACCCTGCGGGGTTGGTTTCCAGCCCCTGCTTTTCCTGCCGAGCTGTTGGTGGTGGCAGCAGCCAGAACTCCACGTTGGCAGTGCTGCTGGCATCTCTTGGGTATCTCGCTGCAGTACCCCGTGGGCTCTGCTGGGCACATTGATGCTGCAGTTGTCACTTATTCTAAAGCGGGGCCACACAAGGTTTCTGCTGGCATAGCTGTTACTAATGCATTGTACCACTGTGTCTATGCTGGCTGTCTGATTCAAGTCCCTTGTAACAGCTTCGTTAGGACAAATCACTTCTATTTTTATAGCGAGATGATTCATTCATAGCTGTAAAGCGCTGCTGGAGAAGAGATATGGGTGATTTTTACTGGAGACTAGTGTCACAAGGTCATTCACAGCCAGGTGAGAGCACAGGCATTGGCCAAGCTAGTAAAGGGCATGGTGAGTCCTCGGTGAAAACCGACTGCGGGCAGGGATGCTGCGGACTCTTTTATTGACCCCTCTTATTTTTGCTTTGTTTTTTCACATCTACCCTTGCTGCTCTGCCGGGATTGTTTGCAGTTCAAGTGCGCTCATGGTGCGGGTGCATCAGAGAAACAGTACACGGAAGCCAAGCTTAGGTCACTTGTTTACCAAGGGGAAACTTGATCCAGGCGGGTTGTGGCATCCGAGCTGCAGTCTCTCTGCTTTGTGCTAATCGCTGTGAATGTCACAGCACTGCAGAGTTTGTTGCTGGGTGCAGATCAGGTAACACGATACAACTTAATTTTGTACTGTGCGTGGGATTCCCATTCCTGGGGCCACACAGTGTGCTATGCCTCTTGCTGTAGCTGCAGGAGGCTTGGAGCCCCTTTGGGCTGCAGCTCGCAGGAGGATAAGCTGCCCCATGACTTGCGCAGTGAGATGCCTCTGAGTCTTCCTTGGGAGCGTCAAGGTTTGCGGGAATGCTTGGCATGACCGTACAAGTGCTAATGAGCAGTGCAAGATGACTTACAGCTGAGAGTATTCTGTCCATAACGCACCGGAGGGGTTTGCAGCTGAATGAGGCTGGATGTTGGTCAGATTCTGACACTTGCTGCTGTGCTAAGCTTTGTACCTGGCAGTGATACCAATTAGGTCAGAGAGCCCCTCCCCTGAGTGAGGTTAGGACCAGGCATCTCAAAGAGTGATTGCAACAAGCTCTCTTTTTATGCCAGTGCCCTGGGTCACAAATAGCAGAGAGAGGCCAGAAGCAGTGCCGAATAAAGTGTCCTCAGGTTCACAGGATCCCAGTGACATCCCTGTAGCCTTCTGAAGTGAGAAAGGGCAGTTGGACATGTGAGGCAGTGGGCAGCACAGCAATGTGCAGCCAGGGGTGGTACAGCATGGAGCAGACTTGACCCCCTCCATCACCCCTTGCAGAGCTTTGCAGACTCGGAGCTCTCCTTGTGCACGTATACTTCCTGTAGGGTCCTGCGTGGGACCTTCCCACCTCATACAGTGGCCCAGGCAGCATCTGATTGGGATGCTGCTGACCTGATTTGAGCTCGCACTGGAAGCTGGGGGCCTGATTCACAGGTTGAGCAGGTCTTGTGGGTTCCCCCAGCAGTTCAGGCTTGCTGGGAGGTCTCTGTAGGGTAGATCTCTGTGCAAGGTGTGCGTCTGTCCCTGCGGTGGGTCCGAGTCGCTGTCATGGTGCTGTGCAGCAGCCCTGGCATCTAGTAACTACCATTTAACTGCTACAGCCCAGCCTTGATTTGCAGGTGGGAAAGGTGTGTGTTGCAAGAAAATGAAGACGATAAGTGGTGGTTGATGCTCTGCTCATCCTTTTTCTTGTACTCTTGCTTTTTAATGTACAAGCTTGTGAGAGCTGAAAGGCGGAAAGCAAAAGAAAGCCAGTAATTCAACCTGCTTAGGATATGAACTCTTATCACAGCAGTGTCCAGGGGCCCTCCAGGCATGTATTAAAGCAAGACAGATATCTGGCGCGTGGTTGTTTCCTCTTTCCTCTTTCCCCAGGCAAAAGGATCTTACAGGTGTGGTGCAGTAGTTGGTCTGAGGAGGATTTAGGATGCCTTTGTCTGTGCAGCTCTGTGGTCTGCCAGTTGCTCCTTGCAAGAGACTGTAGGAGTGCTCTTCCGACAAAATACAGGTGCAATGTTGCCAGTCTGTGCTATAAACGATTGAATGTTCTCGTTAGAAGAGCCATACTTGCTATTTTGCTCTTTGCCTTCCTGTTCCTGAGCTGTTTAAGATTCACTCGGCTCTTGCTGAGCTTTTCTAAAGGGTCACAAAAATAAGAAACCTCTTGCTTTTAAAAGCAAGAGCTGAGCTTCTCACATAATTGTGTGACCTTTGGATCTGAGGTTTTAGGAAAACAAACAAACAGGCATTTTGGAGATTGTAGTGGAGTCAGAAGAGCTGGCAGTGGAGTATGTGAAGTAATTTGAAGAGACAAACCCACGTGAATGGGCTCTGGCTGACCCGCCAGGTCTGAAGCAGGCGGGCAGGCTGACTCTCCTTGAAGCCAGGGTTGCTGTTTTGTAACTGCTGCTTTGCAGCCCTGGCTGTCAGCCAAGCAGTCCTTTTCATTTACAAAATAAAAGCTTTTGTGCAGACAGTACTTTTCCCAAGGCCTTCTGTAAGTTGTCCTTTCTTGCGTCTGGTTTCGTGTGAGATACGGGCTCTTTCTCTGACTTGGGCCCAGTCCCAGGAGACCCTCAGGGAGCTAAGTAAAGAGATGTTTTTCACCCTGCCTGGAAAGCAGCTTGTCCTCTTCCCTGTCTAGCAGCAGAGCTGGGCCTGGCCCTCAAGCCCCATGGGGTTGATGGTGAGGCTGATGGCAATGCCCATCTTCCACACAGCTAGCTCCGCTCCAGCAAAACGTCTGGGCTGTGAGGAAAAGTCACACTACTGAAGTTGTGGCTGCAGCATGTGGTCTGTGTGCAACTTGGCCAGCCTGTATTTTGACTGCAGAAATAGCCAGCTTTGTTCTAAACTGGCTTTTCCTTCCCAAACAAATGGGTAGTGAGGTTTGGGGAGCAGGGGAACGTGTGAATGCCTCTCAGGGGATGGAGCAGCTGGACAGGCTTTTTCTTCCTAGTAGCCGTCCTGACTGTTGACTGGGGCTATCTGTTGCCTTTGAGTGGTGGCTGAGTTTTGTGGCTGACTTCTTGCGTTTACCTTCACTGCCTTTGTTTGGAGAGGACTATACAACATTAGTGACCTGCTGGCATTATGAGCCCTCCAGCTGGACAGGATGCTGCCTCTCTCTGTCTTGCTTGGAGCCAAACTCTGAGGCCTCCGTGGCAAGGGCCTGCCTGAAAGACAACACAGACAGAAGATTTCCTGTTAGACCTTGCTGCACCACCCCAGGGCAGTCCTCTGCCCCTGCTGGGCTGGGAGCTTCGCCACGCGGGCTGTGCCACATAACAGTGCTTTTCGTGCTGTATCCTTTGTTGCAGGCTGGCAAAGATGCTTCTGTAAACAACTGGCTTCCTCTTCTGCGCTGGCATTTTCCTCCTGTGCTATGGCTCTACATGGCCTCGGCAGGGCCAGAACGCAATAATCCGAGTCCCAAACAAGAGAAGGGCTTCAGACGTGGGTCGGGCACCCTGCAGGCAGAGAGAGCCCTGCAGCACCGGGCCTGTCACCTCACTCAGCAGCAGGTGAAACCCATCTGGAATATAGAAGGGAAGCACGTGAGTACTTTCCAGGATCACAGCCTGCTGCTCTCAGGGATCACTCCACAGCATTCTTGCTTCTTGTACCCGCCATCGTTATGCGATACGCAGCCTGGTGAAAGCACTCTCCCAAGCCTGCCGTTGGCCCAGCTCTGCCCGGACCTCAGTGGGAGCGCTCTGCTCTATCGGCGCTGCTGCCTCAGATCCAAGCCCTACAGGTTTCCTTTCCGAAGCTCCCAGGATGCCAGCTCTGCCACAGGAAGAGTGATGTCCTCCTTGCTGATGGAGCCCTGCCTGTTGCCTGCACTGTCTGAGGAGCGCTCTGGGCCTGAGCCAAAAGGGTCTGCCCTTGGTTCAGGTAAGCAGGTTTCCAGCTCACGTAGACCAGTGCTCAATAACAACTCCTTCCTACGGCCAAGCAATACTCAAGTGCCTTTGCTGCAGTCACTAGAGGTCAAGAAACTGAAGAACACCTGCAGCTTTCCTGCTGTCTCCTGGCCCCACTCTGGGGACCGTGGGAACTGCTCCGCTGGCAGCCTTGTGAACAGAGCAGTGAAAAGCAGCAACCTTGTTCTGGAGCAAACCACCATCCCCTCCCGGACCCCTGTGCCCAGCCATGTGATCCTCAGGAAAGACCGTTGCTCTTGGCCATTGGAGGATACTGAAAAGAGCTTAAAGGACAAGAGGCCAGAGATCAGCCTCACAGAGACTGTGCAGAGGCTAGCTGGACAGGTTACTGTGAGCAACAGCTTTGGTCGTGAAGCCAGAAGCTCTCGCCTCATGAGCACGGGCAGCCTGCCCAACAGGAAGAGCCGGTGGGGGCAACATGTTGTAGCACAACTCACCCCGAAAGAAACCATTGCCCCCCTGAACCTGGAGATGGGTAGCCATTGCCTTAATGGTAACTCGAGCCTTATAGGCACCGGTGGTGCCGTCGTCTGCACTAAACGGATCAGCGTTCATCTCTTAGCCTCATGCCCTGGCTCCCCCGACCGCAGCACTGACTGCCGGCTTATGAACACATTGACCTTGCGCAGTGGAGACCAGGCAGCGAGAGCAGAGCCTCCACACCTTGCTGCTGTCTCTGAAGTAGCAACTCAGATATCCACCATCCAACTGGAGAAAGAAGGAAAATGCTCCCAGGCCGTGCTTCCAGGAAAGCTTGCGTAAGTAGAGCAGTTGGGGAAGAGGGGGGACCATGTGAGATTGGTTGGCCTGCTCTGGCCTTCGTGTCTGTGCAAGTCGTGAGCTGGGAGAGACTATGCTGCAGGCACTGCTGGGGTGGCTGTAAGGGCAGCCGCAGGCTGCATCCGTGAGCAAAACCCACCTGCTGCATCCTGGTGCTGTGGGGTCCTTCCTTCCGCTCCCACCTTTACACTGGCTCTTGGGGTGGCACCAAGCCCTTCCACCTGCTCCCTCAGCACCAGCTTCCCTGGTGTGGCTGCTCTTTCTGACGCAGCATGGAAATGCTGTGTGGTGGCGCTGAAGCCCTTCCTCTCTTCTGGAGAGGAGCCTGGAGCAGGCTCCCTGCTCCTTCTGCAGCTCCCCTCTGACCTTAGCGTTCCTGCGGTCTCGCTAGAAGGCAACGTTCAGGACTTGCCGATACCTCAGATCCCCAAGGGAGGTACCCTTCTAGTTGACTCCTTGCATACTTGTGGAGCCCTGCTTGCTGTGTGGTAATCTCTGCAAACAGACACGTATTTCAGGTGAAGCCTGCTGCCAAGTCAGTTCCAGCAAGGCTTCCACTGGGCAGAGGCATATGACAGCTGCAGGAAATGTGAGACCTTAGCGTGTAAAAGAACATGGAAGTGATGAACGATGGGGGATGTGAGGCAGCAGGCTTGGGTTGCGCAGGGGCACAGCTCCTTTCCTAGCCCTTGGGAAGGGGGAAAGGATCATACTTTGAACAGAGATGCAGAGGCAGAAAATGATGAGGAGCACAAAAGGGTGGGAAGGTGACCTCCCCAAGGTGCTGCAGAACAAGGCAACTCTTCTGCTCATCTGTGGATAGTGACTGACAGTTAACATCAGAATTGCCAGTAACAGTGTGTGATCGCGCAGGTGCTGAGGCCATGTCCTCCTCCAGCCAGGAAAGCATTGAGGGAGGCATGGCCCCAGCTGATGGCTGCGCTGGGG